TTTTTTTTTTTTTTTTTGTTTCCAAGATATATATTTTTTAAAATATATATGGAAATCATGAATACTTCAATCTGTTATTGAGGTTTAATTGTGCCTCCATATAATGAGATAACTACTGTGTTTAACTGAATGCTGCTTTTCTGTCATTTTCTGCATTTGTATAATTATGATCTTAAAGAATATTATTGCATATATTTTTTAATCTACAGTTCTTAGGAGGAACAGTTGACTCTTTATATGCGCCAAAACTACATTCTCCTCTCCATCTCAGTCACTCTCTGTTTCTCTGATTTGCTCTTATGTTTTAATTCTTATGTGTTAGAAATTTATTTGGGAACTACATGCTTTTTATTTTGCTTCTATTATTTAATTTTCTTAGTTAAGTTCACATTTAAAGTGATTTAGGTACACCTCGCAGCTTTCTGTCATGATACTAAGGCATAAAGATAACTTAAGTTGTTTTGGAAGTTGTTTTTCTTTTTTCTTTGTTGACATTGCGATGTTCTTTTGATGCCCATAGTTGTGTGGAAGGGTGGGGTGGGCAGATAAAGAAGCTCATGCCCACTTGTTTTACCCTGATAAGTCACTGCTATCTGACGAAGCACTGGTATGTATTTTGATATCAAGCTTTATCTGTATTGGTCATAGACTTGGTGATTCTCAAATCTGCTAAAACATGGTTTGTTAAAAGTAGAGCATTCGTTATCCTGGTTGTGTCTATAGGAAAGGCTTGCAGCTTTTTAAGAATGCCGTGAACTTGGTCATGGTTTCCAACTTGCTGAGAGAGATATGGGGATAAGAGGCTTTGGTACTATCTTTGGGGAGCAACAGACTGGGGATGTTGGAAATGTTGGGATTGATCTGTTCTTTGAAATGCTTTTTGAAAGCTTGTCCAAGGTACTTTCTGGTTCATGAGCCACTTCATTATCCTTTTCTGAGGATTCAACATCAGGGTGTGATGTGCTGTGTGGATTTTTTTTGCAGATTTCCAGGTTACTATGGTTTTATTAGATGAAATACTAATAATTATTTGGGAGGTAACGCCTGAAGTAGCACCATATAATTGATGTAATGTGTGAATACAGGTGTTTTTCTTGGGTTTGGTCTTGATATCTATGTGTAATCCAACTTTAACACTATGTTCTGTAAAACTAAATCAACAAATTTAGAAGGTTATAAGGGATATCCAAACCACCAAACGTTTCATTTCAGTTGCTGATTTATGGAAAAAAAACTGGCCTATAGTAGACTGGAATGAGATTAAATGCATTGCGAACTGTTGTCTTTAACCTGCTGTTTATTATTTATAATTCCAGATTGATATAAATGTAAATCCTAGTCCCCATCTGAGACATAAATTATCTGGAGAACCAATGGAATTATAAGTGAAGCAGAAAATGCTGCTGAAAGTATATGGAGCTTGATGCAATTCACAGCAGTGTCTTCGAGCCAATATGGAAAAGAGCCTTTCTCCATGGAAATTTTATTGAAGAAAGCTGTATGTGAGGAGAATGGCAGCAGATCTTGGGATCATTAGAATCTATGCTTCAGGAAAGATGGTAGGCACGGAAACAAATATGAAGACGGTTTTCAAACTGATGACAGATTCCATGACATCTGATTTTACCAAAAATCTTGGTCTTCACAGAGATCAAATAAAGGTAAACCATGTAACCTTTTACATCTATTTACCATAGATGTGTGGTCACGTCCTGCGGATTCAACACACTTATGCCCTGAGCAATAAGATGTTAATACCAATCAATACTAATAATGGTCTGTTTTATTTTCCCCAGGCAGAACTTCTTCTGGAGCTACCAAAAGAACAGCTACTCAATTGGATCTTCCAATGTTTGGGTGAACTTCATGCTTCGCTTCCAGCTCTTATAAAATATTAGTTCTCTTTCCCGACTCAGACATTTCCCTTATCAAGATCGCCTGATTGCTCTGTTGTGTTCAAGTGAAGGTAAACGAAAGATTTGCCTTCTCAATGGGTTGTTACCCCGCTTATACTGAAAAGCTGAGATGTCCATGTATAAATTAAATAGTCAAAACAAAGCGACTCAATCATTACAATTTTTTTACAAATACATATTTTCTCACTTGCAGGGTGTGATCAGACTATACAAGTACATTTTTTCAAGGTAAACTTCAGAAACCATTGCACATTTTCAACTGACCCATCATTGTGCTCTTCTAACTGGCTCTTCTTCTGTAGGATGTGTCGATGCTATGCTATCTGCCCCATTTTTCTTCAAAGAGAAAGAGAAAGGGTTCACTCTGCAAAGACTGCAGATCGGCAATGACAAGTGTGATACCACAAGCTTAGCAAAACTAGGATATGCCTCTTCCTTTTGTGCTGCTCATCTTTCTGAAATATAGGCTTCACATTGAAGCTCTGCTGTTTTAATTTGCATAACCTGTTTGGAAAGGGATTTTGTACATATATAGACTATAGAGGCTCGATTGAATTTACCGTTATATTATGTAATTCTTAAAGAAGTATCGTTACGTGACCAATAGAGATGGTTTGATATAAAATCATTCATTTCAAGAAGTGTATATTCATTCGTCATGTTATTGACTGCTGAGACATTTTGGCTCAAAATGGGGAAACATTTGACTAGTATTTGTCAAGAAATATTTCTTTGAATTAGAAAAGAGCTAGAATTCTTTTTTTCACTACAAAGTTTCTCGTATGGAAGCAATTAGCAATTAGCAAATTTCCCAAAACTATTGTAAAGGGGATCTATTTTGGACTGGTTGTTGAGTTGAGCTCATGGTTAATGGCGTAAGTGGCGCCCATTTCACAGTACCCTGCCGGCCTCAACCTATCACTATTAGATTGTTTCTTTGTTGGCAATATATATATAATACCTTAGTGCACCTCCATCAAAATTCACCATTGCGATCAAGTGTTTTAATGGAGAACCCTATAACAAAGTTTTAAACATGGTTAGTAGAAATCGATAATAAAGGTAATTTAGAATGACAGAGATTGAAAATCACATAGGGCATGGTTGAAGAAAACAAAAGGAAACAAATTTTGGATGCAGGGAATCAAAACAAAAGAAAGATTAAATCAGAACTTTTGAAAAGGAGAATCAAACAAACATGCCTCTGCCGGTGCTTGCCCTATTTTGGAAGTCTTCTTTAGGGTTGGAAGACTAGTCGAGGTGTGCGTAAGTTGGCCCGGACATCCCTGGTAACAAAAAAAAAAAAATAATAATAATAATAATAACGGTAATTTCTTGATTAATAAGAGCTATTTATAGATATAAAACAACGTTACTTTGACACGATAATTTATAGATATTACAATTTAGTCCTTGTGGCAGTTACTTTGACTTCAATGATAAAAGTGATGCTTTTGTCTTTTATAAGAAATTTATCTTTAAATGATGTGCGTTTGTTCCCCTATTTTTCCCCTATCCTATTCCTACCATTTCCAAAATACACATTTGTTTCCTTATTCTGAAAATACTATTATATTTTATTCAATTATTTTTAAATCTCCTAAGTTTGTTAATTTAACTAAACACCCCAAAAAAAGGTTTAGAAATTGATAAAAACACCCCCACCCACCCACATTTGTCAGATTCTGGCCACCACCATCGGAAGGTGGTCAAAATCTGGTATAATGACGCACTATCAACTGGATTTGGCCAGTAGTGCACCGATCTAGCATTTTTCGACCAGATCCACGATCTACAACCAATGATCTGGTTGTTGGCGACCAAAGATCTGGCTGTAGCTAGTCGTCAACGATGATCATATCTTTAGTTGTCGCTGACGACCAAACACAGCCAGATCTGACTATCAATGGCTAGATCTACTCGTAGATCTGGCATTTTCCAACTAGATCCACGGTGGATCTGGCTGGAAAAGGCTATTTCGGTGTACGATCGGCCAGATCAAACTAGTTGTGTGTCAATACGGCAACTTTGGCCACTCTTCAGCGGTGGTGGCCAATTGTCGGTATTTGATTGGTGGGTGATTGTGCTTTTGTAATTTTTAATGTTTTTATTATAGGGGTGTTTAGTATATTAACAAACCTAAGGGGTATTTTTATAAGTTTTAAATCCTACCTCGTTATTACCACCAAACTCTTACTTTTTTAAAAATACTATTTGAAATACTAAAACAAATGCACCCGTAAAAATTACAATAAATGTAAACTTTAACCGTTCCCATGACCCATCCGGCTATCTCATTACATACTCGTTGCAGATTTTAAACGCAAAACTTAAATTTGAATACTAAGGAAAGAGTTAAAATGACATTTAATGCCGTTATAATTTTGAATTTTTAATACCGTTATTATACCTTTCATCAGAAGCAGACTCACTTGCAATGGCTTCAAAATCTTCTCAATTTTTCAAGCTTTATGTTGATTATAGTTCATTTTTCAATCACTTTTTTTATTTAAGGTGAATAATTGTCAATTTTGTCTTATAGTTTGTAGATAAATTGTACAGGTTATGACTTGCTTTTGGGTTCATTCGCTGCTTTTTACGTGTTAAAGGTGCCATACCCTAAGGTTGAAGAAAGCTTTAATGTTCAGGTACTAAAGTAAATTACCACTCTTCTACTTGAACTAAGAAAGTGTTAAATTCTAATTGCCAAGAAAATTTGGGTTATAAGAATTACTTAAATATTTAAATTCCTTGTTTTTTATAATAAAAAACCCTAACATTTTTATTATCTAAAACCGTAATCTTGAAAATTTTCAATTTAAGATTTGGGTTTTTGATGATACACATCCTGAAATTGATTAAACAAAACTTGAGTTGTTATCTTTGTGTTTATGGTATTCTTTAGAAGTGTTGTTTTTAACATCAATATGATTGGCAAATCTGGAACATCCGTTTAAGCACTTGTAAATTAAGTGGGGAATCCCTTTCTGAAAATTGACTGGCCTATTATAATTGTTATTTTGTAGTACGTTTGGCATTGGGTTGCATCCTACTATCTACATTGCGGTTTTTCCATATTCAGGTATGTGCTTGTTTTTTTGTCTCTTAACTGTGTTCATATTCATCTACGAGCGTTTTCAAGAGGTAATGAATCATCTTTTTGCATTGCATGGCCAGAATTTTTGCATTGCCTTGACTAGAAGTTAATTTAATAAAAATCCAGAAAGCTGATGCACTTTTAGCTGTGCAAAAGATGGCTTCAATCTGATTTGAGCTAGTAGCCTAGGTCATCTTAACCGTCCAAACTTAGAGATCCAAGAACTTCCAGAGTTAGATAGACTTGGAATTTTTGTTGTNTCACCGCCAGAAACTGTTTGTTCTTTCTCTTTTCTTCTTCAATTGTTGTAAAATCTTTGTTTATTTCCTTGTTTTCGTAATGTTTTCGATGGGGTCTTTGTCAGGCATAATACAAGGCAAAAAATTCTGCAGTTAGTTAAGGAAACTTCTACTAAGCTCAAAACCCTCAGCGAATACGATCGGGATACTGACGTTAATGTAACCTCACTTTACCACTTCTCAATTCCTACTCTCTCTCTCTCTCTCTCTCTCTTGAATTGGACTAATTTTGGAGGGCTCTTCTTATTCTTCTTCAGCCAAGTAAGAAAATTGAAGATGCTAAGCTTGCAAGAGATTTTCAAGCCGTCTTGCAAGAATTTCAGAAAGTCCAACAGCTTGCCTCTGAACGAGAGTCTACTTACTCCCCTTCTGTTCCTCAATCAACACAAATAACAATGTATTTATATGCCCACTTGCTGTATCTCATTTTCATTTATTTTTACTTCAATATCAAGTTATCTGTCAATTTTCTAATTCTAATGTTTTTCTTTTTTCAGAGACAGCTCTGGCTCAGGCGAATATGTTGCGTCTGAGAACCAGCCGTTTCTTATGGAACAAAAGAAGTAAGTGCTTGTCTTTCCATCTGGTAGAATGTAAATTTGCTCTATAGATTTATGATTGGCGTGTCAACATTATTGGTATGTTCTATTCAACAATTTGAACTCCATATTTGTTCTACTGTTTATAGTTTTAGTGCTTAGTAAAGGCTTCTGAAACCATGTCATTGTGTTTTCTCTTTATATCAGCAAGAAAGTTGTCATCCTCTTCCAAAATATGTGTATTTTAATATCTCATGGTAGAAATATGCTTTAATTCCAATTTAACTTTAGACATCACTCCTTTACACTGTCACTACTTGTGTCAGAAAGTTTGGAAATTTTTTCATTTTCTTTTGAGAACGAGGTCTTCTCAAACATATATATGTGTGCAGGCAGGAGATACTTCTGCTGGATAATGAAATTGCCTTCAATGAGGCCATAATTGAAGAAAGGGAACAGGGTCTTAGAGATATAGAAGTGCAGATTGGAGAAGCAAATGAAATATTCAAAGACCTTGCCGTTCTAGTACATGAGCAGGGTGTGGTTATCGGTAAGACGTCAGATACCAAGTTGATCCATTGTTATGTTTCTTCTGGCTCCATTTTGCTTACCATCTGTGGAGCTGTCTGAGGTTTCTTATGTTTTTTTTTTTTTTTTTTTTTTGTTCATTTGTTTCATTACAATAGATGACATTCACTCAAACATTGAATCTTCCGGTGATGCAACAAGTCATGCGAAAGTTCAGCTAGCCAAGGCTTCCAAAAATATGAAATCCAGATCATCATGGGTAAGTGATGAACACTTGAAATCCTATTAACTGTAAGCATAGATTTGGCCCATCACAATATTTGATAAATTGGGTTTGCAAATTTGAGATGTCTACTATTGTGTTCAAAATTTTTGCTTGGGATAAAGTCATAAAGATGTTCCTTGTCAAATATTCAAAATCACCTTCAGTTACTTGCATGTCTTGCATTCATTATCTGTTGGCAAAACAAAGCATCCTACCATCTAGACCAAGGTGTTCATTCTGTCTTTCTATGCATGTAAATAACATAGAGCTAACTCCAAACCCCAAACTCTGACATGGCTCCGGCCCTCTCCGCCCAGGGCCGGAGCCAATTCAGGTCCAGGGTGGGTCACCGCCCTCCCTGAGATTTTAAAAAAAATCAGAAATGTATTACATTTAGGCCCCAATACTTTATATAATTTCAATTATTCCATCAAATAATTAAACCCAAGTCCCAAACCGGCAAAAGTTACTTACCTCCCTAACTTTTACCTAATCAATGTGAAGCCCAAAAACAAAATTAGATTATAAATAAATAAAACAAATTTTATACAAACTTGAAAAAATAAAGTTTTGAGAAAGCCTAAATTCTTGAGTACCTTATGAATGATATTCTATTTAGTTTCTTTAGTATAATTTACCTTTAAAAAATTATGATTTTTTTATGTATTTTCTATGTTAATATGATTTTTTTTATTTGCTTTACCATATATTAGGAAACTTGTAATTGTATTAAGCAAAGAATATTAACAATAAATATCATAGCTTCCATATTTGTCATTATAAAAAAAATAAAACAAAAGCATATTATTTTTTTAATTTTGCCCTCCCTCATTTGAATTCCTGGCTTCGCCACTAGTTTCATTGTTGAGAACAGTAGCATATAATGAAGTGATCTACAGAGAGTTTCACTGAGAATGTAGGATTTGGGTGGCTCACATCACACTGACCAGAACCAATTTTTACAGTTGGTATTGATTACGAATGGAAATAAGGAACACAAACGAATACAAATAATATCTCATAAAAAAAATCATGTTCAACCATTTTCTCTTGAAAGTTATATTTCGATGAGTGATGGTATATTTACAAATTTGGAATTCCGATAAGTGATACTACTTTCTTTTTCTACCTTCCGGTATCATAAAATGACAATTTGTTTCTGATTTTGTGAAAACGACCTGATTATGTTACTTGTCTGCATTGTTTTGCAGTGTTGGTGGGTGCTGGCAATTGTTGTAGTGGCGCTGATAATCTTTCTCCTGGTGCTGATCCTATAGTGGAAGTGTGCAAGTTATTAGTGTGGGTTTTTTGGTTTGGATAAAGCTTTTGGTGCTGGGTATTCTTTGATTTATCACTTAGAGAGAGATAATTATTTAGATTTATTAACTAGGTCTACAGTTTTGCTCTTCGTCCTGTGTTTGAATTTGATGTTGTGTGTAATCAATCTGGTTAGCATATGTTTTGTTTTGCCAAGTAGTTGCTGTATGGAGTGTGATGGCGAATGATGTATGAAGAAGACTGATTTTTTAAGTCAAGAATTTTAAAAAGAATGTTTAGAGAGAGTGAAAATGTAATTATGAAGCTCCTATTATTATTATTTATTTATTTATTTTGATTCACAGGTTTGTTGGGATCACTTTATACACATTTCAACTAATTTTTCAGAACAACTATCGGTTCGATAAGAGTTTCGATGATCACTCTATTAACAATCGATGAAAAATTCAAATTTAAGACTTCATGAGTAATATATCTAAGACTCTTTATTGAAACTTATATATTTGTCTTCTTCTGCATCATTGCTAATCCGACCAAGTAAGTATTATGTAATCAAATTGTTTCTCAAAAACAAAAAATAGTTGGATATTTGATTGTAAGAAATGATTCACAATATTACACATACTATTTTCCAAAAACAATATCCCATGCATCTTCAAATCTTATAATTTTTTAACCTATTTAAAAAAAAAAAAAAAAATTAATTTATGTCTTTGTAGAAAAGTGTTTTCTTATTTATTTTTAAAAAAAAAAAAGAAACGAAATTCAGACTCTCTGGGCCCACTTATTAGTGGGCCGGGTATGAAACCCAAATTGAATGTCAAAACAAAGTTTACATCTGTGTTGAATTGGTGTACCGTTTATTGTCATCGTCTTGATTCAGTCTCAGTAACAGACCTCTCAATCATCAGCATCTTCATCTTCCTTAACTCATCATCATCACCTGCTCCGTTCTGTAAAATATCTTACAATCAATGGCAGGTTTAATATACGAAATCTTCTCCTCCTCAGCTCTTCTCTCACTTGGACTCTACCACACGATCTGCACCACTCGCAACCATCTCAAATCCCCCCAATCTTACTCCGCCAAACCCTACCATCCCTTCCCTTTACCTCACCACCACCACCGTCTCAAACACCTCCAACTCTTCCTCCTCATTCTCTGTCTCCTTATCGCCTTCGCTCATCAATGCTTCATTTCCTCCGACTCCGACCCTCTCCTCAAGGGTCGCACCCCCGTCCACCGTTTCGCCTCTCTCCAATCCGCTCTTGTTTCCTTCCTCTTTCTCATCCTCTCCGTTTCTCTCTTAATCTCCGAGTCCACTTCTCTCCTCCCTTTCCCTTCCGATCTTTTCTTCGCTCTCGCCGCCGCTGTTTTTTACCTCCAGTACTCTGTCTCCTCCGCCGCCGCCTCTGTTCAGACCTCCGATCTCCAGGCCAAATGCGACACCGTTTCTGGGCGGATTTCCGTTCTCTCATCTTTGCTCTGTTTGGTTCTCGCTTGTCAGCCCCGGTTGTTCGTCGCTGACGTGGCTTTGGGTGGGACTTTGTGTTTGCACGGTCTGTGGGAGTTGCAGACGGGGCTGTCTTTGTACGTGGAGGCTTTTATTCCGGAAGGCTGTCACAAGTTGTTGGATGTGGTGAAGGGTGTGGAAGGGTCCACGAAATGTGATTTGGAGGAGTCGAAGTTGAGAGCTATGGCTATTTTGGATCTCTTGTTCTTGGTTCACGTTATGTTTGTTTTTGTTATTGTTATGGTTACTTATGCTGTGGTTTCGAAGACGGTTGCTATCAGGAGAATGGGGTCGTACGAGGCCTTGCCTAATACTTCTGAGGCTAATAATCATATTCAGATGAAGGCATTAAGCGGCACACAGGCTTGACATATCCAATTAATCGTGTTCAAACTTTTCAGGGATTTGATTTTTGTATACAAAGTATGTGCTTTCACTTGATTCTCTGTGTTTTGGCTAATGTAATTGTTTTGAGGAATCATTTGCATTTAGATCATTGGGGTTATCATATTAGCTTGTTTTGATATGTTTTTTGTATTAGTTTAGTCCCCATATCTAATTGTAGTAGACATGTTGTTATATCAATGATTTTGTGGCATTCAGCAGTGTTGTGATATTTTCATAAACTAATGTGATGGTAGGTGTAAAAAGTACTTGATGAGTGTATTCTTCAGTTCAACTGGGCAATGTCGCTTTTGGTATATGCTTGTAAAAATTCAATGAAGAGTGATATTTGATTCTTCATGTTGAGGTCTCTGGTCTTGTGCCTACAGCTTTCCATCAAGACAGTGAGATTGTTTCATAGACTGTGATTTTTGAAACAGGAACCGGTGTGATAGAATGATCAGCATTTCCGAGGGGTTTTCCTTCTGGTTACGAATTTTACATGTAGGTGATATATTAGTATTGCGATGTATGGTTGGTAGGGAGGCTAGACTATGGAGCGTAAGTGACTAAGCTCTTAAAATAAATATATTTTGTTTATTTCACTTTTAGGATGGTGATGCATGTTAAAGTGTTTTTGTTGTCTGGGAGTTGCTTGATTGGCTTTCATGTATTGATGGTTTAGATATGATTGTTTAACAATTATTGTAATATACAATTAGCCGGTTTTTGTTGCGACTATGCATTGTTTTTTTTCTTTGTACTCAGTATCAATTACTGTTTCTTTCCTTACTTCCTCAAGTCCTTTCTGACATTTTTTAGCTTATGATGTTCCATTTTGACTAATACTACTATTGGTGTTTGCTGCTACCTGGCTTTACTCATTTTTCCACATGTTAATAGTGATTCAACCTTCATTTCTATCGAATCTGTTTTCATGGCTCAACATTTTCTTGGTCCTATCTTTAAGGCATCATAGCATCCTTAAGGTCGTCTATCATTTGGACATGTTATTTGCTATTGCCCTGAATTATTTGCTACTGCTAGGATGCATGATTGTTGATCTTATAGTAATTGATAATATTATGAAATATTAAGTGTTTATTTGCGTAGTTTTAGTCCAACCCATGAAATGCTGTAGCCGCAAAACAGCCAAACTAGATCTCTCTTTTTTTATTGACTAGATCTTTCCTAGTTGCATGGGATTGTAGATTGCCCAATCATATGCATTCAACACCTTATTTAAAGGCAGGTTGAGATACGGAAAGAGAAGAACATTAACTGTTGACAGTGAATGCTAAGGTTTCACAACATTTATGCTGAGGGATTTAGGTCTGATAAACATTCTTTGCGCTAGATTTTCAAAATGGAACATGTGCTTACTTTTGGCAGTTGAGTGTACGACACAGATATGTTCTTCAAGGCTCTTGGCACTGGTTAGTTTTGATTAATTTTGTTCTCAGTTTGGCATATAAACCCTAGTTTCAAGTATTGACAGTGTGTGTGAATTACATAACTTGAATTCAGTATTGACAAATCTGTGAAGTGGAGTGTAGAGGTGGGGAAACTAGCTTATGGCACATATCTTGAGTACTGTTGGAATCCTTTTCATTTTTTGCCGTAATTTTTGTCATAGACCTCCAATTGTGTTTTGTTTTTTTTTTTTTTTTTTTTGCCACAGTAGCCATACAAAGTTTAATGAACTTTTTCTTATTTAATTGTAATGAGAAAGTGTGCTCATAAAAAAGTCGGGTGAATTCAAAATTCCATTGTTTACTATCATTCATGATAAAATGTTATTAGCCGATTATGTATTACCCTTCTTTTGCCATTCTGTGGCTGTTTATAAGCAGATCGATTCATAGTTTTATGACTACATGTTAAATTTAAGCATGGGATCTGGATAGGCAAGGTAACCTTTATGTTGCATCTACATTGGTGTTGTGTCAATGAAGACACAAAGTGAAACCGTGAAAGTAGCAATCTTTTGCACTAGAAAGCACCCAAAAAAGAATTCCTTAGTCATGATATACTGTCTATTTAGCCCTGAAATTCTTTCCAAACAAGCTTTTTATGTTTAGCTTCGTTTTCACACAGAATTCTTATGAACCCATGTGAATTACCCAATTGAAACCCCATGTATGAACAAATAATTATGACTTGAAAAAAGGCAAATTCTTTGCTTCGTATATATTGTATACAATTGCGGGCTGTCATTCTGTTCAATCATTTATATATTGGATCATCCTATCATACCTCCATAATGACGAGTTTGAATCTCAACAATTGAGTAAAACCTGAAGCTGAGAGTGAGACTTAAAACTATCCTACATATTCATAATTCATTCATTATGTTTCATGAGCAAATACGTTCAACTGACAACTGGAATAGTTATATCTTCCTTCTCAACATGGAATTTGAGGAATAGCAGTAGCTGTTGATAATGTGATCCAGATAGATTAGCTGCGGCTGTAGCATTTGCATTTGGTTATTGGCAATGGCGATTATATTAAAGAAGAGAATACAATACAATAATAGTCTAAATCTTAACGAAATCTTTTGTTTTCGTTTGAGCAAATAGTTCCGTCACCTTCATTTGATTGGTACTTGATTATTTAGATTCTCTCATAATCTAAATACATGTACATTATACCCACTTCTTGGCCTTATCAGCTGGCATTTGCGCATATATATATATACATATATATATCCCAAAAATGAAGAAACTGCATTGCAATTTCACATTTTAAACTCTTAACCTCAGTTTTGTTGTGTATCCCATGAAGGGTTTGGCGATGGAAACAAAAGACTGGAATACATTGTAGGTGCCACCAATTATAGAAAATTTTGCAGAAGTTTCTTCTTCACTGGGAAAATATGGGGAAGGCACTTGGATTGGTACGGGGGATTCCTATGACTTTTTGGCCTTTTATGAACTCTCATTCCTATATAAACGCTTCCACACTATTACATTCCTTCCCGGCCTCCTCCTCCCCTCCTTCGTTAATACACATAAATTGTATAACGGTTTGTGGAGACTCAACTTCTTCTAAACTCTCTCCCTCATAGGCTTCCAATGCTAATGCTTGTTTGAAGTATAGGGAAGGTAAGTCTATGAGGGAAGAGCTTAGAAGAATTTTGGAACTCTCCCCACAAGTTTCTTTTTCCAACTTGATAACCTTTGTATTCAATCACTCTTCTCCTGTTATTGTTGTCCAGAGACCTCAGCGTCCTGATTCCAATTACGGAGCTATTGTCACTATTATTTTGGTTGCTTGTGTCTCAGAAGCTAATCTCCCTTTTTTTTCTTTGGCAGATCAGCAGACCATACACCACCTAATGACGTAACAAGATTGTCCATTCTTCTTGCCATGTTCCAATCTGTGAGTGAGACACAGCTTAATTATATATTGTACAAGTTTTTTGTCATCATGCTTACATCAATTCTATTATCCTTTTTTATTTAGATATATGACAAACGAAACTCCATCTTGATAGGCTGAGAGAAACTTGTTAGTTTACGAAGCAGGATTTTGTTACATTGAAACATGGATTAGTCTACTCTCTGTTCTTCAGCATACACGTGGTTGTGACCAGCTTTTGTTATTCATTCCTTCTCTTCTCTCTAGAATTTTTCTCCCCCTCCCCTCTGTTAGAAGTTGATCTGAACAAACAAAGCTGTAAATAGGGCAAATTTTGTCTATAGTACCTGGACAACCAATTTATTGATAGGGCTTTTCCTGAGTATCTGAAACTGAGCTTGTCATGTAAGTTAACTAGTTGCAGTTCAAGAATAATGATAAATCTTTGCGGTGAGTTTGCACACTGGTTCTATGAAATAGTCTTTGCTTCAGTTTTTACCTGATTCAACTCCCAGGCAGGATCAGATGTTTAGAACTTTAACCAGAAAGAAATATTTCATTAGCTTCATAATACTACTGATAGGGTAGGAGGAAAAGAAATATCCTTCTTTTTATCTGAATTCCCAGTAAATCTTAATCAAGACATTATCAAAGATTTATCACAAATTAAAGTATAAATTCTTATATGAATTAATATATATATATATATATATAGGTTACAACTCTGTCAATGGTACAGTGTTCTTTACCATTTTAGTTATCCTTCATGGAATTTAAGCCTAACGGAGAGAGCAGAAGTTAGGGCCAATGATCAGCCAGTCCTATGAGCCCTTAGGTCTGGACCCATGGGAACTCACAGAAAAGTCAAAAAAAGAGCATCAAATCAATTTCATTATAGTGATACGATCCATCAATAATTCCTTTGTTCATGAATTTTGACTTCTGAGAGCAATAACAGTGTTCTACATTTGCCAATCCCTGAGAGGGAGATCCACAAAATTATCAACTTCTGCTAGAATTTAACCTTTAAGCCATTCTCGGAAATAGGATTGCATCTTGTCTCGATTAGCAGCATTCCAAACATTGACAGTTGGAATTATCTTGTCGGGCCTCAAGAACTGGGAAATGGCAAAAATTTACCCATGATCTGGTCAATTAATATGATATATGCAGATAATTCATGCTAAATACCAGTTACATAAAAGATGTTTTCCAGATATGTAGAAATGAATCAAATCCATATGTTCCAGAGTCAGACCTGAACAAACTCTCGCAGCTCTGTGAAACTTGAGTGCTCACTATATGGAACCCCTGCAAAGATAGCAAATAAACTTTGATAATCTTCCATGATAATAAACTCTATTATGGAACAATTAAGAAGTACAGAAAAAATCATAAAATACAGCTCAGACCAACAAAAATAATCTCAAGCAAACAGAAGCAAGAACCCATAACAAACAAAATCATGGTAGCTCCTGGGTACAATCATAATTGGGTCTCCAAGATCCATGTATGACTTGCCATATTTGTGTGTTTACTAAAGTTAGACACGAAATCATCTCACCATAGATTGTGATATTGCCTCTGGAACTAGGTTTAATGAAACTGAGTTGGTTTCCCATACTCTCAGAGTAAGTCCAACCTGAAATAAGTCGGAGTTAAACAAAAAAAGTTGAAATTTCTAAAACTTTTCGGGCAATTGTAGAAGAAAAATTCAGAATGTTGCAATAGCACATGTGATTCACCTGTTGGCCGAAATGCCAGTACTGCTGCATACTGATTTGTGTAGCTCTTCAAGTAATCCTTCAGGGTCTTAAGAAAAAAGTTTCAGATTAGGAAAAATGGAGATCAATTAACATGGCAATTATATCACTACAGAAAAATAAGGGAAAGACTCAAAATCAAACCTCAAATCGCAGTGCTGATATAGGGAGCACATGAAGAAGTGTGTCATTTCCCTGTGTACAGAGACTCCCAGAGAGCTCATGCCAATCAAAGGACTGCAGAACCCTCCTCCGTGAAGCATTTGCATATATTTTAACCTAAAACATTGGGAATAATGTTGTTTTGGAAAAATTTAAACTGATTACATTCCAATTGATGATAAAAGTCACAAGAACCAGATGCAATCATCTCCAACCAAAGGTCTGAGCTTCTTATGAGTAGAAGAGCAGAACTAAGAGGAACATGTAAATAAAGTTGTGTTGTGAAAGCAGTTAGGAATGTTTTAATAAATATAGACGAAACTATACTAAAATGTGAACGTACCCCTAATGCCTTTGAAATAGCAAGAAAAACACATTCTTTCCCAATGCTATACGCACCAACAACAACAAGTGTTTTGGGTTGTTTCCTAAGGAAGTTTTTAGTAACTTTAACAACATAATTTAATACGTCTTCTTTTGATGGAAACCTGAAACAAGAAAATATTACACAAGAATTATTAAAAGAAATATACAGAAGGATAGCTTGGAGTCCACCACGCAACCAAGTTCTGATAAGAAGTTGCTTACTTGTATTTTGGGTTGCAATATGTAGTATCCAAGTAAAGCACATTAACTCGATGGTTTACAAGCAGAGGGTAAGTTTGCATCAGTTTACATGCCCTGAAATCACCAGTGTGCAAATAGCATTGTCCATCTGGGAGACGAAAATGAATGAGAGCTGCACCGGGGCAGTGATTAGCCTCTAGCAATCTCACTTTGACTCCTTCAATAACATATTCGGCATTCAGTTCTAAAGAGTTAATATACCTACAAGTATAAAACCAAACAAAAAAAGCAGCTCTCAACCAACAGTCACACAACTCATATTAACAAGTTCACATATGCATCTAGATAAATGAGGTCCTTACAAAGAATTGACAGAGAGACACATCTTAACAAGGCGAGCAGTGAGAGGACTGCAATAAATAGGTCCATGTGACCATCCTTTGCTTAAACCACCATAGTGATCATAGTGAAAATGAGTAAGAAAATAAGCAGAAAAACCTTCAATTCCACCATAACGAAATGCATCAACAGTGAAGGGTGTTCCTGAATAACCAAAAGGGATTCATCATCATTCATCACAAGAAAGCAGCAAACTTTTAGCTTAAAAACTGGACTTTGAGAGCAAAAAACAAAGTGGGTAGCATAAAAATCCCACCAGGAATCTTTTTATAAAAAGGGCAAGGGCGTTGAGGCCTGTTCTTCATATGGGTACTTTTGGATTTTGTTGCAGTCTTGAGCTTCTTATTAGGAGGTGAAACGGAGCCATTGGCTTCTGATTCTGATTTTGACTTTAACCCCCACATCTGAAACAAATTAGCTTGTTTCAAGTTTCTTTTCGTTTGCAACAAACATGACGAGTCGCTTCCGCATTGATAAAAATCAGCAGCAAAGCTCTCTGCTTTCTCTTCTTCTTCATCTTGTTGTTAAGGCGGGAAGCCATTCTCGTCTGGCAGAAGATCGGAGGATTCGTACATACCGTCATCAAAATCAAATTCAGCCATCTCTCTTAAACTTACTTTTGATTTCACCTCCTTTTTCGGATCTTTCCAAATGGAGCGGGGCGCCCATGAACCGCGTGAGATGGAGGGAAACGGAAGGAAGAGAAATGAAATGAATGGAAGATGGATTTGATTTGTTTTTCTTTTACTTTATTATTATTTTTAGCAATATTTTAAATTATATTATCATTTATTTATTTAAAAAATAAAATAATTTTTATTGATGTAAAAAAAATATACTAATGCAATAGATTTACTTATCAGTTTCCTTCAAATTGTTTAATAACCTTAAAAGGTAGAGCTTACCTAACATTGAATTTAGTCAAATTTTAATTGTAATGAAATGGAAAGAAAAAGAAAAGTCTCAATGTAATTAATAAATTAAAATAATTGGCAATTTATTGAGATATTTGAATAGGTGACAATAGGATTGATGATCACGAGATAGTTTGGTGATATATATATATCACGAGATCATTTGATGATAAAAAATATTGATGCGTGATTTTGATAATAACGATGTCACACGTGTAAAGTACTAAGAAGGTCTTAAAAATTATATGTGATATGATTGTGAGAGTTGTATATGGAGTGAGATGATACATGTTTAAAGAAACATAAATAAAAGATTGGCAAGAGAGATTTTTATAGTAGTTCAGATGCTTAAAGCGAATCCTATATCCATGTTATTTTATTATTCATTGACTATTTTCCTGATATTGCCTGTGAGGCGTACAAAGATGGTGTAATGTTTTGTTTACAGAGAAAAAATAATAAAGCTCAAACGTATGCCTAGCTTTCAAATGTCTAACCTCTTTTTTCATGAAGAGATGTGTCAATTTATACACATTTGAGCTTAACGTAATGAGTACTTTTGTAAATTGTCTTGACACATGAAGAGTTCTCATTCATCCTCATCATTTATTTTGATAAATATGGGACAGGTGTAATGTAATATCTCTTTGAGTTGGTTTGGGTTTTGACAGCTAATACACTTTGTCTTTTAGGTAGTGTTGACATCAATGTGTGATTTTTTAGGCATTACACCCCCCCCCCCCCCCCCCCCCCCCCCCCCCCCCCCGTCCCCTTTTTGGAGTGCGTAATGGGACTTCAAAAACTCAGGTCTTTGATATGAATGGCTATCGCACTATAGGTTACAGTTTCGAATTGAAGAGCTCGAACTATGCCTGGCGTGGTCGAATGTTGATAGCTAGGACTGCGATTTGAGAGCTTGGAGCGATCCGAAGCTGATCACGATCTAATAACTGACATAAAATGTTTAGTAGATGAATTCCTAGAGAGAGCTGAGCGTCAGAAGCCCAAATGCACGGGAACCTAGTTAGGCCAAAATCCACCGTTTTGGCCTGTTTCGAGGCTGTTTTGAGTTTTCTATGCATTTTTTTTTTACGTTGACAGCTAGTCGCGATCTGAGAGTTGAGAACACAATTTGAGGCTGTTCGCAATCTCGGAGTTTAGAGTTGATCGCGATTTGAAAGCTAGGAGTTGATTGCGATCTAAACGATCTGAAGCGCGCGACCTCAATATGAGGAGCTTGATCTAGAGCTCACGAGGGCTTCAGGAGCTTGATATGTGCATGCGATCTAAGCGATCTGAAGCGCGTGATCTTATGCACACGATCTATGTGATCTGAAGCATGCGATCTGCACGATCTGATGATGCAATCTCAAGCAAATGAGCAAACTTATGAGCTCGATCAGAGAGCATAAGGAGCTCAATCAAAAAGTGTAGAGCTTGATTTGAGAACACAAGGAGTTCGATCAGAAAGAGCAGAGCTTGATCTAAGAACACAAGGAGTTCGATCAGAAAGCGCGAAACTTGATCTAAGAACACAAGAAGTTCGATCAGAAAGCGCGAAGCTTGATCTAAGAACACAAGATGTTTGATTAGAAAGCACGGAGTTTGATTTGAGAACACAAGAAGTTCGATCAAAAAGCGCGGACCTTGATTTGAGAACACAAGAAGCTCAATCAAAAAGCTCAGAGTTTGATTTGAGAACATAAGGAGTTCGATCAGAAAATGCGAAGCTTGATCTGAGAACTGAAATTAGCAATCTGAACGCTCAGAAGCGCGATCTGGGTGCTTGGAAGCACGATCTGACCGCTTAAGAGTGCGATCTAAATTCTTGGAAGCACGATCTGGCCGCTCGAAAGCACGATCTAAGTGCTCAGAAGCATGACCTGAGTGCTCAAAAGCATGATCTAGCCACTCGAGAACTGATTTGAGTGCTCGAAAGCACGATTTGGCCACTCGGAAGCGTGATCTAAGTGCTCGGAAGCACGATCTGGCCGCTCGAAAGTGCGATCTAAGTGCTCGAAAGCACCATTTGGCCATTTAGGACCACGATTTGAGTGCTCAATAGCACGATCTACCCGTTCGGGAGAGCGATTTGAGTGCTCGAAAGCACGATCTGGCCACTCGGGAGTGCTATTTGAGTGCTCAAAGGCACGATCTTGCCGCTTGGGAGTGCGATATGAATGATTTAAATGCGTGATCCCAATGATCTTAAACGCGTGATCTCAATGATCTTGAACGCGTGATCTCAAGAGCTTAGGAGCTTGTTGGCTTGGGAGCTCGTTAGCTTGGGAGGTTGAGAGCTCATTCTGATCTGAGAGATCTAAGCGCACAATCTGAGCGATCTGGCTGCGCGATGTAAATATGAAGATTAGAGTGATCTGAGTATGCGATCTGAGAGTTTTAATGCTTGCAATCTGAGCGATCTGAGAGCTCTGATGCGCGTGATCTGAGTGATCTGGCCACTCGATCTAAAAGCTCTGATGTGTGTGATCTAGGTGATCTAGCCACGCGATCTGAGAGATCTGGGCGATCCGGCCACGCGATCTAAGAGCTCTGATGCGTGCGATCTGAGAGCTTTGAGTATTTTGACGATATCTTGAGCTGTAGATCTCATATTTGGACGATTCTTATACCATCAGAAAGCTAACTCGAAGGGGTACAATTCTCGTGTTCACTGTTTTGCCAAATTCAGACTTTATCTGGAAAAATATTGAGAGTTGATGTGAATCATGCCCTCCTTCTAACGTCAAACTGTTGATACGTGATTTTGACACCAACAACTCGCACATGCAAAGTGTTAAGATGTTCTTAGAAATTACACGTGTTTGATTGATTTTAGAGTTGGGACAAGGTTAAACAAAGTTATTGAATGCAAAGAACAAACAAGTAAGACACAAGATTTTTATAGTGGTTCAAATGCTTAAAGCGATTCTTACGTCTATTATATATATATATATATGATAGTTTTACAAGAGGTTGCATATAGCGAACAACGAACAAAGATACAATAACTGAATATTCAGAGAGAATATCAAATTACTCTCTTTTTCATAGGTTGTCTTTGTTATTGATTGCTCATGAAAGTAAAAGATCCCGAAAATGAGAGGGGAAATCCTCTATTTATAACTGCTAGATCCAAGGTAATGATTACAAGTCTGCAAGTAGGCAAGCGCCGTGGAAATCTTTCATTGCCTCCCATTGGTTGATAACTTAAGAAATATTTTCAAATTATCTAAGGCTTGGACATGTGTGCGGCCCTGATTCACTTATAGACAAAACTTGAATCTGCTAAGTTGATGACAACTGTATCCTTTCTATCTTAGGGCGACATTGCAACTTCTAGACAACATAAAGTCTTCCTAAACTTTGATTGGTGCTTGTTGATGTATACTGATGTATGCTGATGTAAGCTTACGTTAGCCCTGATTTTTAGACATAACAAAAAGTCAATTAAGATCTAAGTTTATATGCTCGAGTTCTGTCGATAATTTGAAAGTTTCGACAAATTAATGGAATTACACGCAAATCGGTTCAAATACTCTTCGTTATAAAGAAAAAAAAAAGGTAATACTACACTTATAAATAAATTTTATAAAGATCTTCATATAAAGTGATGTGGCAAAAAATGAATAGAAGAATGAATTTAATGAGTTTGACTTTTTGTTTGATTTTTTTATTTATTTTTTGTCACCTTTATTGAAAAAGAAAAAGGTGATTTGTTATTGTTAATAATAACCTAATTAACAATATTTGAAGAAGACAAAACTCAGAAGACGTGGACTCGTACAAAACTCATGACTCATGTCTAGACGGAGACCACAGCAATTAAGATAGACCAAGCCTTACTAGATTGCCCCACCGGCAGTTGAGTACGGAGGTAATAGTGGTCGGTAAAGTATCACGCTTTGGCTATTGACCAGACAACCTCTTTTCCTCTGTTGTCATTTCTTTCGATTTCTTTTCTTTTTTTCTTCATCCTTAATATAATTTTATTAATTGAATTATATTTGGGTTATATAAGATAATTTTCAGCCATGGATCCTCTGTGACCCTTTTAAGTTTCTATCTTTTACCGATTTCAAACGGTAAAGTTTACATTTTTTTATTTTAGTTTATTTTTGGGTTGTAGCATTGACCCTTGATATGATTTGATCTGAATTTAACGATTCAAGCTTGTTTTTATGTTCATTATTTCCTTTCTGATTCTGGGTGGATAGATCTACTGTTTATTTATGGGGTTTTGATTGTTTGTGTCTGTATTGGGGAAGAAGTTCATTGTTTGTATGTGGGAAGTTTTTGTTTCCTTCTGTTTTAAGTTATAGACCCGGCTCTGATTTTATTCCACAAATATGTGATCAACTTTTGCAGGCATATTAGCGCAATTTTATCAAATTTATATGCATATGTTTCATTCAGGTGGGTTCTGGTGCCCTTCTGTGGCATTACATCTGGGTTTGTGTTAGAATTGGTGAACATTGAAAGGCAGCTTCAGATTTTGAGCTGCATGTGGGATCTCTTTCCCGGCTTTACGGTTGTTGAGCCATGGGAGAGTGGGTCATTGGAGCTATCATCAACTTGTTCGGTAGCATTGCCATCAACTTTGGAACTAACCTTCTTAAATTGGGTCACACTGAGGTATGTGAGAATGTTCTTAGTTTATGTTCAGACAATGCAGCTACACACCGTAAAAGCTTAGTTTTCTTATATGATTTTTTGACCTTAAATTTAGTTGCATACGTATATTTTGATGATCCTTTTGTCCTGCACTATGAACATTCTTCACATGTTTGATAAGTTCTAGTTCTTGTTACAGTGCACTTCAACATTAGTCTTTATTGCTGCTTGGATGTGGATAAGTCATACAGAATAAAAGATTAAGTCTTAATGGTAGACCAAACTCTAGTATGAGTAGTATGAGTTTCTATGTAGAATCCTGAGATCTCAATTCAGTTGATTAGATTGATGCCTTTATTCTTTAGGACATGTTACTTGTTTGATTTTGGTTCTAGCTTGTCGTTTGCCCCTTTGTTTAGATTCCTGTAAAGATTGACTTATTTAGTATAAATTCCTCAATATTCAGTTATCTATTAGTGGTCCTTCAATATTCAGTTATCTATTAGTGGTCCTTGTTTTTATTCCGGCAAGAGCATCTAGAGATAATCTATTTGATGACGCATTAGTTTCCTATTTGCATCATCTTTGCCAGTTTTGTGAGTCTGGCTGAAATTTTTTGCAGAGAGAAAGGCATTCTGTGCTAGATAGCGACGGAACAAATGGAAAGCATTCATTGAAGCCTATTATATACTTCCATTCTTGGAGAGTTGGTAAAGTCTGGTCTTATAGCGATTTATTCATTTCAGGAGTTTCGAATTTGGTGTGACTGCTGATTTTCAGTCTTAAGTTTGTGACTCTTAATGCAGGTGTTGTATTTTTCGTTCTTGGAAATTGCCTTAATTTCATATCTTTTGGATATGCTGCTCAGGTCAGTATGGGTGAAATCATGTCATTTTCCCAGCTTTGTGATATGAATAGATTAAACGGTGTTAGATTTTTTGGAATTTCAGTTTACAAGTACCGTCTTTTATGAGGTTGAACAACATCATTGCTTTGGAGCAGCACTTTTTTTTTTCTTTTTAATCTTCCTCTTCTGGATTTGCAGTCCCTTCTTGCAGCCCTTGGCTCTGTTCAGTTTGTTTCGAACATCGCATTTGCTTACTTTGTGTTCAACAAAATGGTGACTGTCAAGTATGTTAAAATCTGAAGTGAGCTAATTTTCATAGCTATAATGAAGTATATATATATATTATTGCCTCATTGTTACGTTAAGTAGTTCTCAATTGTTCCTCATATTTCTTCTATTACAGGGTTCTGGTAGCAACAGCCTTTATTGTTCTCGGAAACATTTTTCTTGTTGCTTTTGGCAATCATCAATCACCTGGTATCTAAATTGCTTTTAACGGTTTACATATTTAAATATTACTAGCATATCTACTTGTGCCTAGCCCTACTTTGTGAATCATATTTCATGGTTAATTAATGGTTATAATTCACCTCACAGTTTTCACACCAGAAGAATTGGCAGAAAAGTACAGCAACATTACATTTCTTGTGTACTGTCTGAGTTTGATCTTAGTTGGTGCCTTGAATCACTACATTTACAGGTAAGATACACGACTCTATTTAAAGGTTAGGTCTGGAGGTGACTTTTCATTCATGTAAGTTGCTCTTATAATCAACTTGTATAATAATATTCAGGAGAGGAGAACTTATGCTTGCTGTTTCTGGACAAGATCTTAAAGACCTTAAACCCTATTGGCATATGATGCTTCCATTTTCGTATGCTATAGTTTCGGGTGCTCTAGGATCATGCTCAGTGTTGTTTGCAAAATCTCTGTAAGTTAGCTAGTTAGCTAGCTTAGACATTTTAAAATCCTTTGGCGATGTTACCAGGTATTGTGCAATTTTATTTTGGTTTTAATAAACGCCTTGTTTTTGCAGCTCTAACCTTCTCCGGTTGGCCATGTCTAATGGTTATCAGTTGCACAGTTGGTTCACATATTCAATGCTTCTTTTATTTCTTAGTACAGCTGGATTTTGGGTAAAGTTTAGCAAAACTCTTTCTTTTGGTTTTGCATTGTTTGCAATATGTTCCATGTCACAACTCAAGGAGCTGGTGATTTTATCAAACGTCTACTTATTCATACTTCCTATTTCTGCAGATGACAAGGTTGAATGAAGGATTGGCACTGTTCGATGCAATCCTAATTGTTCCCATGTTTCAGATTGCTTGGACTTTCTTCTCTATTTGTACAGGATTTGTATACTTTCAGGAGTATCAGGTCCTTTTTCTCTCTCTTTTCTGTCATTTTCTATAAGTTGGGTGCAACATTGTAGCTTAGGTTCAACATCAATTCATCATTAAGAGTTTTTAAGGTGGCATACATCACAGACACCCCTTATTGTTCTGGATGCTTTAGTATTGTTGCATTTTTCAGCTGGTGGCTCTGAACGTTGATCCTTCCAAACAGGTATTTGATGCACTGAGGATAACAATGTTCATCCTAGGAATGATGTCAGTGTTTGTAGGCATCTGTTTGCTGGCACCTGATGACTCTAAAGGTTTTTCTGATGTCCCATTTTTTTAAAGTTAAAGTATAATGAGGGAAAAAAGAGTAAAACTTATTCTGTAATTTTTCAGGTGGTGAGGGTAAAGATAATTCATCTTTTGTATCAGTGGTATCTTCAAGCATTTCAAATGAAGTGGACAGGTATAGTGCAATGATATACATTAGTGAATTTGTAAAGAGTGATGTGCTTTGATGTTTAGCTACAAAATTTCACCATTTCTTGTCCACTATATCTCTTCGACAGATTGACTGTGCCCCCTGAAAAAACACAAAATAAAGAAACAAGACCATTTGTGCAAGGAATGTTTACGAAGATTTCAGGGATGATATCCAAGGCAAAGGTGCTACAAAATTGCATCAATGAAGTAAATCCTTTTCTAAGATGGTTCATGAAATTTAGTGAACTAACATTATGATTCATATGTTGTTGCAGACTGCTTGTTCATTATCATTAGGTTTCGGAGAGGATTCGATCAATGCATCTGCAGTTTTTGTTATGCCAATGGTGTCATCAAAGATAACAGGTTTCCGAGGAAACAGGTTTGACAGGGCTAAGATTTTGTCCATGAGAAATTCTGGTTGGAGTAGTATTTCAATGGGTGAAGATGAGGCAAAATTGTTAGACACAGGCACAATACTCCCTCCCACCCCTTGACAGGAGTATGTCGATAAGCATTGAAATATTCTGATTTTTTTAGTTCTACATTTGATTAGGATTATTGTTTTTCCCCTGTTTATTAAGTATATTCTTGTAGTTCTATAAAAAAAAAAAAAAAAAAATACATTCTTGTAGTTCTATAAAAAAAAAAAAAAAAAATATCACTTATTACACTGTTGTATATGTATCTTCTCCCTTAAAATTCAAAGGAAAGCGACACTTTAGCTGTTTTTGAAATATAGAAGGAATAAAAAAGGGTAGATTATTAATATTTGGCTTACAGATTTGTGTGTAATTGTGTATTGATCAGACAAAAAGAGTGAACTGTAAAAAGGTTAACTCTATACAGAGAATGAATAAAATAAAATAAAAATTGATGTTTGTTTAAGCTTATAAGCTGGTAACTAGCTTATAAGTTTTAAAATTAAATTAACCTATTTATTTATAATCTTTTTGAGTTTATAAGAAAAAAAAAAAGTTTGGGGAGGGTTTTTTTTTTTTTTTTTCCTTATAAACACTCTGTTTATAAGTTAGTTTGATCAAGTATATTATCACATTATCTTTGTTTAATTTTAAAATTTCACAGTATATTTTTATTTTATGTAATATCATTTTTAGTTATTTTATAATAAAATATACTTATAAGCTATAAAATATACTTATAAGCTATATTTTACTAAGAGGGTGTTTGTCTAAGCTTATAAGCTGATCAAACTAGTTTATAAGCTATAAAATTAAGCTAACTTGTTTGTTTATAACTTTTTTGAGCTTATAAGTTGAGCTTATAAATAAAAAAAAAAAAAAATTTGGGAATGTACTTTTTTTATTTTTTTGCTTATAAGCACTCTGTTTATAAGCTAGTTTGACCAAGTATATTACCACATTATCTTTGTTTAATTTTAAAATTTTATAGTATACCTTTATTTAATGTAGTACCTTTTTTAGTCATTTTGTGATAAAATGTATTTATAAACCATATTTTACCAAACACGTCAATTACTTATAAGTACTTTAACCAAACACGTAATTACTTAAAATTTTAAATGCTTATAAGCTAATTTTCATAAGTTTAGATAAACATAACTATTTATCAGTTACTTATAAATACTTTAACTAAACATCGTAATTTCTTCAAATTTCAATTGCGATGTTTATAAGCTAATTTGGATAAATATCCCCTAATAGTAATCACAAAGTTTCTCTCAAAGAGTAATCACAAAGTTTCTCTCACGATTCAGACTGATAACTGATTGATAACTTGTAATTGATGGATTTGTAATTAATTAATAGGATTTATACGACACTCATATGAGATCGTTATGAATGGGTTAATTGTGAATTATCACGTAGGTAGTGAGAGAAGTTGTTGGTATAATATTGTTAACTATATAATCGACTGGTTGTTGGTGTGGTATTATTAACCTGTATAATCGACTATCTATCAGCTCAGATGATGTAAGCGGCCATGCTGAAGCTAGCCGTGCTCCGTCCTTTATTTTACCAGTCGCGTCTCTTGTTCTCAGAAGCAGCATCAGCTCAGACTCAAACCCATTACCAGCCTCCGGTTATCGAAACTGGAACATGCATTGCGTTGATCAAGCAATGCCAAACGCTTCGACCCTTGAAAGCCCTTCACGGGTTCATCCAAAGATCTCACTTTCACCTTCTTCACCGAGAACTTTTCCTCATCACCAATCTCGTCTCCCAATACGCCTCGCTCGGCTCTGTCTCCACCGCTTTCTCCCTCTTCTCTTCCGTTTCACATTTCTCTGATCTCTTCCTATGGAACGTCATGATCCGTGCCTTCGTTGATAACCGCCACTTCGATAGCGCATTGCAGTTGTACGATCAAATGCGTCGATTTGATATCAAGCCTGATAATTTCACGTTACCTTTTGTTCTCAAGGCTTGTGGGTGTTTGCGTGATGTTGAAATTGGAATTAAGGTTCATCAAGAGGTTCTTGATTTTGGGTATCAGTCTGATGTCTTCGTTGGTAATTCTCTTATTGCTATGTATGGTAAGTGTGATCGTATTGATGTTTCTAGGAAAGTGTTTGATGAAATGCCTGAAAGAAATGTTGTTACTTGGAGTGCAATGACTGGTGCTTATGCACAAAATGGTTGCTTCGAGGAAGGGTTATTTTTGTTTAAGAGGATGTTGGATGAGAGGATTAGGCCTAATCGGGTTGTTCTTTTGAATGTGATGGCGTGTGTTCGTAGAGAGGATGATGCTGATAATATTTGTAGAGTGGTTGTAGATAATGGACTTGATTTTCATCAGTCTTTACAAAATGCTGCAATGATAATGTATGGGCGGTGTGGAAGAATGGAGTTGGCTCGAAGATTCTTTGATAGGATTTTGAATAAGGATCTGGTGTCTTGGACATCCATGATTGAGGCTTATGCTCAGGCTGATTTGTCTCTTGAAGCCTTGGAGCTATTTAGACAGATGAAATTGCAATGGATTATCCCTGATTCTGTAACCTTTCTTAGTGTGATCCGAGCTTGTTCAAGTCTAGCATCCTTTCAGCAATCACGTTTGGTTCATGGAATAATAATCCGCGGTTGCTTCAATAATAGATTAGCCTTGGATACTGCTGTAGTTGATCTTTACGTGAAATGTGGGAGCTTAATATACGCTAGAAAAGTTTTTGATAGGATGCTTGAAAAAAATGTAATCTCATGGAGCACAATGATCTCGGGTTATGGGATGCATGGCCATGGTAGAGAAGCACTCCGCCTCTTTGATAAGATGAAAGCTTCAATAAAGCCAGACCACATCACATTTGTGTCAGTGTTGTCAGCCTGCAGTCATGCTGGCTTGATTGATGAAGGATGGGAGTGCTTTAATTCCATGCTTAGAGATTTTGGGGTCACACCAAGACCTGAACATTATGCATGTATGGTTGATATGTTGGGTAGAGCTGGAAAACTAAATGAAGCTCAACAGTTCATAGAGAAAATGCCGATAAGGCCAGATTCTGGTGTCTGGGGAGCACTACTCGGTGCTTGTAGAATTCATTCACATGTAGAATTGGCGGAAATGGCTGCAAAATCCTTATTTGACTTGGATGCTGAGAACCCTGGTCGATATGTTATCTTGGCGAATATATATGCATCATCTGGCAAAAGAGCAGAAGCTGATAGGATTAGAGCTCTGATGAAGCGGAGGGGGGTGAGAAAAATTACTGGCCACACAGTTATAGAGATTAAAAACAAGGTCTATACTTTTGTTGCTGGGGACAGATCACAGCCTCAAACAGATCTAATATATTCAGAGTTGGCGAAATTGATGGACAGGATTCGATGCGAGGGTTACACACCAGATTTAAACTTTGCATTGCATGATGTAGAGGAAGAGACCAAGGAAAAAATGTTGTATGTGCACAGTGAGAAGCTAGCTATTGTTTTTGGGCTACTGAATTTAGGTCCAGGGAGCGTTATAAGGATAAAGAAGAATCTTAGAGTATGTGGGGATTGTCATACTGCTACCAAGTTTATCTCTAAGGTTACTGGAAGAGAAATAATAGTAAGAGATGCTCATAGATTCCACCATTTTAAGCATGGAACATGCTCTTGTGGGGATTATTGGTGAAGTTATTAGGTGATAAAATTTCTAGTATTTCCATTGGATGAGATTATCTTCTTCATTATCTTTGAAATGGGACCAAGACCAGTAAATCTGGTTTGTTACTTGGACGAATGTTGTTGGAGTTGAATGTTAGTTGGTTATCTTGTCCATGAAGTTTATGGGAAATGCCAATGCCAACGTACGTTGAATAAACATACAGCACTTCAAATATGGCCTAGGTATCAAGATCAGTTCCGCGTGGGGCCACCCTTAGAAAGTTTGATTTCTTCTTGCATCAAATTTCCGGAACATTCATGGGCTGATTCCAAAAATACAAGCAGCAGGATATTTTGGTTCGATTGCTTTTGTTCAATTAGGCTTATTGGTATTCTTCTGGATCTGAATTTGGGATAATTATCAGTGCCACGTCTACTATTCCGATGGAATTGAGCTCCATAGATCTCAAAGTCATGTACTGCAAAGATCTGAAAGGGTTCAATTTCTTTCAGAAACTTTCCGTCTATGCTCTGGTTTCAATCATCAGCGATGATCCTGACAAAAAATTGGAGCATAAGCAGCAACACAGAACTCCAACTGACAAAGAGGGAGATGGGAATCCTGAATGGCAACATGAGATGCAATTTGATCTTAAGGGGGTTTCGTTTCACGATTGTGATCATCTCTTTATTCACTTTGAACTGCGACATGAAGGAGTCATGTTTGGAGACAAAAATATTGGTGAAGTTCGTGTTCCGTGCAAGGATCTTATCCTAGACTCCAATGGCGGCTTCAAATTTGTTAATTATGAGGTCCGAACAACTGATGGTAAACCAAATGGAGTATTGTGCTTTGCCTACAAGGTAAATGGAACTGGGTTTCCAATTTCTCATCATCATCATCCTCAGACATCTGGGACTTTATATTCACCCATAGATGTTCATAGCTCAAGACCAGAACTTCATTCTGTTCCTCCTCAAACATCTGAGAATCTATATCCCCCAATAAATGTTCATACTCAAACAGCAGAGATTTTATATCCCCCAATAAGTGTTCATAGCTCAGCCCCAGAAGTTCATACTCAGACATCTGAGATTTTGTATCCCTCATTAGATGTTCATAGCACAACCCCGCAAGTTGCCTATCCTGTTCAAACCTCACCAGCCACCTCACAAGATGTTCAGTACTTATCAACGGTCAGCCAGCATACACACCAAGAAAATTATTATCCCCCACCGGGTACTTATTATTCTGCGCCAAGGCCGCCTCCTCCTCCTCCGCCACCTTTTCCACTTCCATATCTACCCCATCCACCACCGCCAGGTCCGCAGCCACCACTACTACCACCAATGGCACATGGGGGATTTTACCATCCTCCTCATCCATCACATTTCCATGGTTGGGCACCTGAACCTCACATGGGTTTCTATGGCCCTTCTGCCGGACATTCTCATTCATTCGACCATGGAGAAGCATCAGCAAGCCATTCCCCAGCTTGGAGAGATGGCCGTTCATCATCTTGGAATGGTAGGTGAGAATGTTTGGGCAAAAAGTAGCATGTGATTCTGGTTAGAACTTTGGGGGCTGTGTCTATAATGTTGTTTTGTCAAACTTTAGTTCTGTTTACACGAGGTTTTGCAATCCTCAGATGACTATTATTGTTGGTATTACTTGTAACCAAATTCAAAAAGGAGAAAAAAAAATTAATATGTATTAGAGAGTAGAGAAGAAGGTTCTGGCAAGTGACGACTAATTCCACTATATGCATCGTGCTTAAATGAATTATTCTGAGTTTACCAAATCATTGCCACCCGATTTTGATGGTGCTAGCTGCCTTTAGATTTTTAGGAAGAATTTTTATTGAATAAGCTATATTTATAATTTCCACGCTTAAATTTATGGATGAATCTTTCTATTGTGTTGAGTTTTTGTTTGTTAATTAAAGATCTTAATTGCATTGAATTGAAATGAAACCTCTTAGAAGGTCAATTATACGCAATGCATTAAAAATAACAAACAAATTACTCTTTAAAACTCTTGAAGTTAATTTGGATAGTCATAACAAATATAGCGGCCTAATACAACTTATTGATATATAAAATGGCTAATTAGTGTGGTCATAAGAGCTTTCATCTAATCGATAATTTCATGATCTCAAGAGGTGAATAGAGTTACATACAAGTTAACTCGTATGTTTTAAGTTAATAGCATCTAATATAAAAAAAGCTTCAATCCTGGTTGTCCAAACAGTTGACTTTACACCGGCAATGGATCGAGGATCCCTCCAAGCCAACCAATAAACAAAACTAATCAGATTATTGATAACGAAAAAAGCTAAAAAAATCAATGGAAAATACTAAACTAAATGGCCTCATCATTGGTTCATATCTTTATTGAAGATAATGTTAGGACTACAGCTCAATGTGGGGGTACTTTGTGTACTGTACACAACAATAATAACAAATAAACATATTAATAGATTCTTATGATTTTTGCTAATCCCTACGTGGGTTTGGATTGTAATGGATGTGGAACCCATTTTCATGGCCATAACATGTTTGTTTGTTTGTTGGTGGGCTCGATTTCCTGTACCACTGGAATTTGGATCTCTCACGAAACTAAGATGCTGTTTTGTTAATTAAATTTGATTTGGAAAAATACCCAATAGTTCATTAGTCCTTCCTCTGTTCTTCTGATCATTATTAGAAGTAATCTGTTTGCATAAACTATGATGGGTGTTGTTTAAGCAATTCCTTCCTTCCTAAATAAGCAAAAGGAAAGACCATTTATTGGAGAAATCTACAGTTTTTTTCTTAGTATACTTCAAGGCCAACAGTGTCCCCAATATTTAATTGCAGAGAGCTGTTGAAAGACTTTATGAGATATTGCAGCAGATTAATTGAGCATCAACATATACATAAAGTGAAATAGGGAAATGCGTTTGGTGAAATTGTGGGACTCAAAAGCACTATAATGAAAAGCAAAATATCATATCAAAAAGCCCCCACCAAAATCATCGAACACATTAACGCCAAACACCAAGTTTTGAATCCAATGAAAGTTCAAGACAACTCAACCTTCTCCAAACCCCACTGCCTACTAATTACATCACATTTTATTTTTCAATATTCAATATTCATTCTTCACAAACCCATACACCAAGCCAGTTGAATACTTCAAAGAAAAGATTGAAAAGTTAAAGGCCAGAGAAATTAAAAAAGAAAAAAGAAAATTTACTTTCTGTAAACTCAATTGCAGAGGATATAGAACACGAAAGTATCCATCTTTTCCATGTAAAAAGATGAAAGATTTATGGTGTTAATTAGTTACTGCAATAACTGCATACGGCTTTGCTTCCTCAGTTGTTCATAAAACCTTCTGATGAACTCCTCGGCTTCATCATCAACCTTGTCATTTCCGGATATTTCATTCTCATCTTCTGATGAGTAATTGGAGATTCTTACATTGAAAGGTGAGCGGAGAGGGCTACGCTTCTCTCCGTCGGTGGCGTCAAATCGAAAGTTGAACGTGTACTCAGGGGTTCTGGGCACCAAAACAACTGCCTTGGGCTCACGTTCAAAAACTTCTTCTTCAAAAACCTCAGGAGGGTTGATGCATGGAAAATAATGGTGTTTGCGCTTTGACAAGTCGGAAAAAACAGGATTGGGACTGTTGCTGCAAGAGAACTCATACTCCTGTATGCCATAGCTACCACGTGTCATGTGTCTAGAATGGTGATGATGATGAAGAGACATGAGATTACTGAAAGACTTTCTCAAAAGCTTCCCTCTTTTCATCATCAAATTCATGTCCATAATCAACTTCCTCTTCGACACCAACCCTTTCCTTATCATAAAGAAAGTGATCCTCAACACATTCCATAGCCTCCTCGCTATCACAGAATTCACATTACTATTTACCTCCATTGTAGCAATTGTAGTAATATATCACAAGTAATAGCAAGATGGTTATTTTCTTATTCTTTTATTTTTTTTATTTTTTTGGGTTTTCTTAATGCTGCGAGGCTTTGATGGACCTCGCAGAAGAAAAGAAAACCCTGGTGAGAAAAAATTGAAAGAGAAGGAGTAGAAATATATAGGAAAAAAGTTGATGAGGCTAAAGGGTCATATTATATTATATTATAAAAATAAAAAATAAAAAAAGAAGTCTTGATGGGAAATATAAAAAAGAAAGAGAAAAAACTTGAAGGAGAAGAAGAGTGGAAATGAAGAGGGAGGTGGTGGGCAAGAAACAACATAACCTTAACCTATATTCAAATGGACGCAACAACCGCGTTTGTATGACTTAAAATAACAAAAACAAAAGTGTTTTCAGAAAACAGATATAATCATAATAACGTTAAGTAGTAGCTTCCCTTGTTGAATTATTGTTGAGTGCCCATCACAGTACAGCTAACACAGAAAAGTGTTTATTAAAGGGGGAAGTGGGACTGTTTGGTCGGAGGGAAAACTGAAATTAATAAACTAAATATAATGGAGTTGCTGCTTTTTCAACGGTTCACAATTTGATTATCGATCTGGCTTTGCCAAGTCAAGAGCAAGATTTGATTGAAGCTTAAGGCTGCTTACTGCAAGTATGAGTATCTTTACCTTTCATGTGGTTTATATTATATGATTAATTTTCCAGATATTATTTTGCTTTCTCCGCGGAAATCTCTGTTATTTGTTTTAATCAACGTGATTTCCTCTGATCATAATATAAATCTTACATCATAACTTAAGCATGTACTGTATTTTAGATAGAATGTTTTTTTGATACCATCGAAACAATTCTAAGAATATAAATGGTAATTTTATTTACTTGTAGAACTAAACAGGTAGCAGCAGTGGCTTGAGTTCTCTTTCATGAATTATTGAAGGTAGCTTAATGATTGAATTATCCCTTAATTAAGTTGGTGGCGACTATTAAAATTGAATTAAACTAAACTTCATCAAGTAATTATAGTTTCTGAAGTGCTTACCAATTAATGGAGAGAGAAGACCATCCGACCAGAACTCTTAATAGATTCATTAATCATAATTAACATTAAAAATGACTCCCACCTCATCACTTGTCGTCTTCTTGATTAAATAAACATAAATCGTAAACTGTAAGTAATTGAATTTGAATACGGAACTTGATAAATGGGGCAGGTTCCTGGGTTTGTTGTTTAGCATTTGGCATTTTTTATTTGACTTTGTAACCCATTAGGAAATTGCCAGCTTCCCGCACTTCCAAGCGATTCAGAGCTCATTTCTGCTTTGGAACACGATTTAATTAAACATGAGATGAGGTCATAACTGAATCGGTGATTTTTTTTTTTTTTTTTTTTTTATGAAGATGGTCAATCTTAATCTTTCACTGTTCAGCTTAATTATGTATTAATTAGAGTTAATTGCCTTACCTTACCTCCCTGGGGGTTTAGGTCCACCAAGTCCAAATTCTATAGTTTAAAAATACTTGCAAATTGTAGCGATTGTTAAGAGATAAAATTTAGGTTTTTAAAACTGAGACAATATCAAAATAAAGGGTATTTTGTTCTCAATAAATCAATTATGTAAATGTTTATTAAATTCCAGGAAAGTAAGTTCTAATACAGGATCTAAACTTGATTAATAAAACTTAGGCTAGATGAAGTCTTTTTCTCTATATTAATTAATGAATAATGTTATATATACAAATTATTCTTTACAAACTGATGTGGTAGTCATGTTTGCTTGACATATCATCAACTATAAAACTCATTTTGTATGAGTGAATTTGTATAAAAATCAGTCCTAAAGGGTCGGTCAAGTAGATTTGCTCTCTTCCTTGAATTCTTAGAATCAAACATTGAGATCATCTACTATAATAACAATATAGCTTACTTGGTCATTTGGGCTTGTATAAGTTTATACATGTGTAGACGTAAAAATCTACCTGTACGGAAGGAGGGACTGATCCCATGAGGTTGAAGCCACTAGCGATCTGCTGTACCTGCACACGTAAAGAAACATGCGTGAAGTGACGGAAAACACCGGAGTGGTGTTTGCTGTAGGCACTCCGACGCTCAAGTCAGCAAGGTTGAAAGGCTGATTTAGTGAGGGCTAGGGAGTAGAGAGGTTACCAGAAGTCTAGTCGAGGACTGTGACTATGGCTGTGATGCGAAGTTCTCAAGCTAGAACTCTGGGGTCTGTAGGTGTAGTGTAATCTGCCTTGTGAGACGGTTGACCTCTGTTTAAATAGTGACTGTTTGGTCTCCCAATCCTTGTGGGATTGGGAGTTCTCGTAGTAATCTGTTCCCTCTCGGGATAAATCCTCTGGTCCCATTATCCCGACGTGAAGAGGAGTCCAGGTGTGACTCTGACACGGACCTTGGAGGAGTTGGGGTTGTAATGGGCTACTTTACTTGTGCTTAAATAGGAATGTGATCTGTGGGTGACCACGGGCTCTGGATTCATTCATAGGTCCAGCAAGTGAATTGGGACTAGGAGGCTTGTGTCCGGACGGTTTGGGCCGACTGTGCTTCGTATCAAATGGGCTTAATCCGGTGAGTTTTGGATTAGGCCGTATCGAGATTGGGCCTGGTCTTTTCCTCATTGTTAGACCCGTTTTCTCATTTGGACCGGGTATGATTTTTGGCCCTAACAGTTTGCCCCCCACTCTCTGAGTTAAGGTTTTCTTAAGTCAGAGAGTAGGAAGCGAAAGAGATGCATTTGGTCGCCCTACCCGGGTGACCGATTGTCGGTGCAGCTGACTAGCTTGATGCGGGTGATTCGTAGACAAGGGTTGCTTGGTATGATATACTATCGATCCGGAATATGTAGTCATCCCAACAGGGTGTGCCCGATCGGTGTGAAGGGTCGAAGAGACTGAGAATGAGACTTTTGGGGTTCATGTGCTCGTTCGGTGTGTCCTGCCGACTGGAGAAATGAGCTAGCATCCCACGATAGAGGCATCGGCTCGGTAAGCCGAGTCGAGTGAGTTAGAGGCGACCTTTAATTGAAGGTTTGTTCGGTCGGGATGCTCGGGTGATCGAATGGATGAAATGGACTCGGCCGACTTGCTGGACCGTATGATGTGCGCTTGCGATACCACGGGGCTCTCTACTGGATGCCAGAGGGACAACTCCATGAGTAAACTTTGCCAACTCGTCCGCTACGGGAGACCGAATGGGCGAGGCTTCTTGGCTTGATCGTCTCGAGTGTGAACGTGAGCCAGATCTCTGCTAGCCATCGATCAGGAGAATCTCCCGGACCAGTCAGACATGGGAGCCTGTTGGGTCCACTCCAACAGTCGCGTGCTGAGTCGGTTGAGAAGGTAGGGCGGTTGAACATGGCTTTCGTACAGTGCTATGATTCCCTAGGTGTCGTGGATGCTTGCCACATGTATGGTGGCGACCAGCCCATCATTTTGGAGGCCGAAAAATGAAGAGTCGCTCTGACCGTTGGCCAATCATGGGTTGCCACGTGTCTGCTTCCCTCAGATTTCCCTTATAAAAACGAGGGGCAGACTGTTCGTCTCCCATTTGCGTTTTTCTTGCATTTCCTGCAATTTTTTTTTTCTTTTCTTTTCTTCTCTTCATTTTTGTTCCAGTTTCTTGAGCAGCGGTGGTTTCCTTCTGCAGTTTTCGGGATCATCTTACGGTAAACACTATTCCCTTAGGTTGAACTTTCGTTTGTTTTGCTTGTTTGTTTGTTTTTGCTGAGGTTTTGGGAGAGGCTGAGATTTTTTGAGGTTTTGGGAGAGAGGTTGAGATTTTTTGAAGTTTCGGGGGATTTCAAGTGGGCTTTGAGGTGTTTAAATTACAGATTTTCATAAATAGGTGTGAATTTTGGAGTTTTCTGCTGGGTTTCCGGTGATTTGGTCAGTTTCTGGGTATTTTCGAGTGTTTTGGACAGAAACGAGGAAACAAAACGATCTAATTGTTTTCTTGACTCGAATCGGTCGGCCTGCCTGACCTAATCAAGTGAGGTTGGTCTCCGATTGAGTGGATAGGTAGGTCATCCAGTCCATCCCACCGAGTGGAAGGGGGTTGTGCGAAGTGGACTTGAATTAGGGGTTGGCCGTCCAGACCGAGTGGGCAGTTTTAGTGATTGAATTGGTAGGTTGGTGACTCAAGGCGAGTAGACTCACGGGAACGGTGAGCTGGAGCATTGGTCTATCGTTTGGGACGAGCGAGGGTAGTGTTACCTCTTCAATTCTGTCGGTCGGTCGGTCGGTCGGTAGTGAGGGACGAGCGAGGGTAGTGTTGAGTCTTTGATTCAGTCGGTCGGTCGGTATCGAGGGACGAGTGAGGGTAGTGTTGAGTCTTCGATTTGGTCGGTCGGTCGGTAGCAAGGGACGATCTATGTTCTAAGTTCCCTTAAGTTAACAGGTAGTCAATTGGGATAGGTCAGTCGGTGCTGAAGGGTGAGCAATAACTAGGGTTCTTCATTTTGTTGTTCGGTCGGATGTACAGGGCGAGTGATGGTCTGAAACTTAGGTTTTTGGAAGGTTGAGTTATCGAGAACAATCAATTGATAGGGTAGGTCGGACGGGCCGAGATGTCAGATTCGGAATCGAGTAATCCGAGCGGGGTTAGGGAAGATGTTGGGAATGAGTATGCACATACCCCGACCATAGTGATGATGCCCGAAGGCTCCGTTCCGACGGGTGTTCTGACCAATGTTACTATAGTTGCCCTAAGGACCAGTGCTGCTGGTTCAAGTGGTTCGGGCAGGCATGGGGAAAGTGGGGAAGACTCTGAAGGTGTTGGTAGTTCACCCTCGTCCAGTAGTAACTCCAAGGAGCCAAGCTAACAGGGTAGTGGGATCTTGGTTAGGGATTATCCGCCTGTGCTTAAGGATAGCGATGTGTGGCGAATCTGGACTATGTATCACATTCGGGTTCAGTGGAGATCCGGGCGCCACGGTTGAATGAGCAAGTTAATTGGGAGGCAAAAGGC